GTAGCGTAGTGAAGTGTTATGTAGTGTAGTTGTAGTTGTAGTTGTAGTTGTAGTTGTAGTTGTAGTAGTAGTAGTCGTCGTCGTAGTAGTAGTAGTATATAGTAGTAGTAGTAGTAGTATATAGTAGTAGTAGTAGTAGTAGTAGTAGTAGTAGTAGTAGTAGTAGTAGTAGTAGTAGTAGTAGTAGTAGTAGTAGTAGTAGATGTAGTAGTAGTAGTAGATAGTAGTAGATAGTAGTAGATAGTAGTAGATAGTAGTAGATAGTAGTAGATAGTAGTAGATAGTAGTAGATAGTAGTAGATGGTAGTAGATAGTAGTAGATAGTAGTAGATAGTAGATAGTAGATGATAGTAGATGATAGTAGATGATAGTAGATGATAGTAGATGATAGTAGATGGTAGTAGATAGTAGTAGATAGTAGTAGATAGTAGACAGTTGTAGATAGTAGTAGATAGTAGATAGTAGTAGATAGTAGATAGTAGTAGATAGTAGTAGATAGTAGTAGATAGTAGTAGATAGTAGTAGATAGTAGTAGATAGTAGTAGATAGTAGTAGATAGTAGTAGATAGTAGTAGATAGTAGTAGATAGTAGTAGATAGTAGTAGATAGTAGTAGATAGTAGTAGATAGTAGTAGATAGTAGTAGATAGTAGTAGATAGTAGTAGATAGTAGTAGATAGTAGTAGTAGTAGTAGTAGTAGTAGATAGTAGTAGTAGTAGTAGTAGTAGTAGTAGTAGTAGTAGTAGATGTAGTAGATGTAGTAGTAGTAGTAGTAGTTGTAGTTAGTGTAGTACAATGTAGCGTAGCGTAGTGTAATCTAGTTAGTGTATTGTAATGTAATACGTGTAGTGTAGTGTAATTGAGTGTAGTGTAGTGTCGTGTAGTGCAATGTAGCGTGGTTGTAGTTGTAGTTGTAGCTGCAGTGGAGTTGAGTGTTGTGTAGTGCAATGTAATTAGTGTAGTGTAATGTAATCAGTGTAGTGTAGTGTAATGTAGTATGGTTGTAGTTGTAGTGGTAGTGGTAGTTGTAGTTGTGGTTGTAGTGTAGTGGAGTGTAGTGTAGTGGTTGTAGCTGAAACTGCTACAAAATCCTCACGTTTTGCTCACTTTTGGCAAGGTGCAGAATCCCTTGTGCCTGCCACGCAAAACGACATCCGAACGCCCAAAAGTGCCCCGAAACCCTCAGTCTTTTCCACTTTTGACTTCCAAATGTGGTTCGCGCCACAACGGCGTGCACTTTTTCGACATCTCAACTTCCAAAAGTGCTCCGAACCTGGTGTGTTTTGCACATTTTGACTTTGAAATGTGCTTCGCGCTACAACGGCGTGCGCTTTTCAACATCTCAACTTCCAAAAGTGTTCCGAACCTGGTGTATTTTGCACATTTTGACTTCGAAATGTGCTTCGCGCCACAACGGCGTGCACTTTTTCGAAATCTCAACTTCCAAACGTGGTCCGAACCCTGGTGTGCTTTGTACCATGTTTACTTCGAAATGTGCTTCGCGCCGCAACGGTGTGCACTTTTTCGACATCTCAACTTCCAAAAGTGTTCCGAACCTGGTGTATTTTATTTTGCACATTTTTACTTCGAAATGTGCTTCGCGCCATAACGGCGTGCAATTGTTTATCTCTCATCTCCCCAAACGGCTCCGCACCCGCCGCTTTAGCGAGCCTACTTTTCGACCCTCCAGAGCCACAAATCATTGGAGAAATGCAATGTTTCGCGACTTTGCTACCTTTTCGCACATCTGCATCTTCTTTCTTCTGCATCTTCTTTCTTCTGCATCTTCTTTCTTCTGCATCTTCTTTCTTCTGATTCTTTCTCCTGATTCTTTCTTCTGATTCTTTCTTCTGATTCTTTCTTCTGATTCTTTCTCTCTTCTTCTCTTCTCTTCTCTTCTCTGCTCTGCTCTGCTCTGCTCTGCTCTGCTCTTCTCTTCTCTTCTCTTCTCTTCTCACCTCTGCTTTTCCTTCTGTCCATATTGTCGGAAGTTTGGCTTCTAAACATCCTTCGACGATATTATACGGTCCTCCTAATCTACTCATATCTATTCTATATATTGGAGATCATGAGACTACATCACGGAAATCACAACTCACCAGCCAATATCAAGAGTTTCAAGCACTGCTCATGTTGCCCTCAGAGCTACTCAGTCTTGGGCATTCCTTGCTTTTCTTACGCCTGGTTAGGCGTATTACGAAAGCAGACTATCAGGAGAATGGGTCAGAGGTTTTCTCCCGACTACTTTGAGTCAACATTGAGGCACTTCTGGGCTCCGAATCTCACAGGAGAGAGGGCAGACTCGGGTCGACCGTGTTCTTGATCAATCTTGATAAAATCTCTCTAATTTCCGACTTGCAGAGTCCGAAAATCATTGAACATGCAGATCTGGGATGGAATCCTTTTACTGACATCGGATGATATATTTATATTTTTTCAATTTTGTTGATTTAATATATAGGTTGAACATGATTGACGAATATTGCACATAAAATATTTGATAGTTCTTGATGGTCGCGAGTCTCCAGTGTAGGTCAATAATTTGTTTAAGTTTAGGTCCCCATGCAGAGCAGCTGCAGGCCTTCCTCAGCAACAGCAACTCCACAAGTTTGTTCGTCCTGTGAATCCGGACTCCCTGGAACTCCCTCGAACTCCATCAGACTCCATCGGCACCACATTTGACCAATGAGACCGTGCGGGGACTCAACAAGCGGTTGCAGATTTCTGTGCAGTGGCTTTCACCGCATCGGTTTTGCCGTCCAAAGAGACGGTAGTGATGCAAAGGTTGAACATACGATCTTTGCAAGACTCCTCGTCTAACCATCAAGAGAAAGCGGCATCAGCTTTGCATGCACAATGTATCACAATGGGGTGAGTCGCAGGAAATCCTTGAAGTTGCAAAGAATTCATAGTTTCTGCGAGCCAAGCAGCTGGAGTGTAACTGGTGTAGAATATATTTGCATTGTTCTTGTCAATCCCAATGCGAGTTGCATAATCAGTACAATCCATTATAAATTATAATCTAGTATGCCTTGTCAACAAATGAGACAACAGAAAGAACCCCATATGAATTGGAAGCACAATGAAGTTGTATCAGTGCATACGCCAGTGCTTCTTCGATGTCTTGCAAGACATGAACATGATGTAGAGGAAGGAGGCAATCATACATGCTGTTTCAAGCAGTATTGGTATCAACTGATTCCCCGCGGTTCAAAAATAAGATGTTTCCCGCTGCTGAACCGCAATTATGTAGTTGCTTTGATTCTGTGGAAAATGTGGAAAGTCGGAGCAAAACCATTGGCATCAAACTATTTGCCCTAAATGAAGCTGTCGCATGTGTTGCTCTTTCCAACCTTGGACATGTAAGATGCATACAAAGCGAGCAAGAGTGGATAATGCCTTACGAATCTTCAAACAAATGCCTGATCACAAAAACTGTGTGCATGGGTGCAGTCGCACAATGTCTATTTCCATTTGATTCCATTTGTGTTTTGAAATTGACTTTTTGTGACAAACTCCCTCAACTAATGCAACTCCTGGTTGTGAAACACATGTCCCACTGTAATTCCGTGCAAATTCTGCATGACCCGGGTGAAGATTTTAGACTCATTTTAAGGGACAAACTAGAAAGTTTTGCATGTTTGATGCCAAGGACTCATCGGTGGCGCAAAATCCTCGTGGAGCCGGCTTTGAATGGTAGGCGTGATCGGGAATGAAACCACATCATCACATCATACATGCTCTTTGCTCCGACAGAGCTGAGCCTCTCAGGCCTGACAAGTCTTCTTGGCTAATGTATAAAATCATAGTGGTAGTGTTATCATGTGAGATCCTGATGAGGTTGCTATCGTGGCAGTCAACGTTTCTTTGCCTCCTACGCGGGTTCCACCCATGTCTATTTTGTCTAGGTGACACATATCTTGTGTCTCGAGTATTTGAGCATGCTTTCACACTGAATTTTATGATATCTTTTGATATCATAGTGTCTTTTCGTTTCATGGGCAGTTTGAGTTTGGGACTTGGTTTGCTGCAGGGCGTGCGATGGACCCTTCAATGAGACCAGAGCCTGTTCCCATGCGGGCCGCAAGGAGATTCCAGCGCTCGGTTTGAATCGGTTTGCCATACCAGCAAGGGCTGGAATCGCTGGAATGGCAAGACGTGCGTACTTTTCCAACGCTTTTCACAGCTACGTGTACATGCTTGAACCATGTGTGGCATTTGATTTGTTGGGCATGCTTAGCCTCTTATGGCCATAGCAAATCAATGCACATCATAGCAACATATTTTCTTGATTGTACTTGTATGCTCCTACTGTAGTATTCGTGCTTCTACATGCTTCTACCGTATATTGGCTTCTGAAGACATCCGCTATGGTCACAAGCGGAGCTTTTGACTGCAATCCTCCCGGATGGGACCCCAAAAAAAACAGCAGATCCGATACTACGCCATTTGTTCGGGGAGAGGGCGAATATTAAGAGGAGATGGGAATTAATGAGGTTTAAGCTAAGTTTCCACAGTTCCACTTGTATGAAGATGCTGTGTTGATGAAATATTACACCTGAAGATCCATGTGCAGAATCAAAGCTAAAAAACTACTTTTGACATCTTTTGACCCACAGCGCTGAGTCTAGATAATCTGGTAGATACTTGCCTGTCTTAGTAGGATTGCAAGTTTTCTCTATGGAGCAAGTCCGGATGCCCAACTTTCTACGGTGAATATCAGTGAATCATGAGCACGCTCATTTTGAATCTGGTTGCAGTAGCTCTTTTGCATACCAGCATACCATGGGTCACGGAGCAAACAGTGGCACAAGCTTCGTTTAATTACTGTAGACACTGAGTAGACCCTGAGCAGACACTGAGTAGAGACTGAGCAGACGCTGAGTAGACACTGAGTAGACACCGAGTAGACACTGAGTAGACAGTAGACACTGTTGATTGAAGATGAGTGAAGATGGGTGAAGATGATTGAATATGATTGAAAAGATGATTAAAGTTCCATGTCAGGCTCCTCGGTCGGCATTTTCACATCCTTAGGTGGACAGAGTGCAGTGCTTCTTGCGAAGGTGGAACCCAGTCCCGACTGTTCGGATTCCCAGATTCCCTCTGGTTCGTGGAGCGGTCCAAAACATGAAGCCACCATTGATTGTTTTGCAACATTTTTGTGGACGCTCAGCGAGACCCAGTGCTGCAGGATGCTGCAGGCATGTGGATTTGTGCCTTTATTTTGTTTTGATCTGTAAGATTCTGTAAGAAGCTGAAAGTGTCACGGCTTCCAAGGGCCAGAAACATAAGCTGAGTATTTGGACGATTTTGGAAATTTGGGACGATTCCGTATGATTCGCCTTATGATTCCTTTTATGATTCCTTTTATGATTCCTTTCGCATGCTTGCGCATATTCCGCTTTTCAAGTTTGCCACAGCATCGAGGCGTCGAGTGGACACCTTTGCAGAGCATGGAGGGGCGTGGTCAGCCTCAGATCATTGGAGATTTTGAGGCCAAGTCAAAGTCATCTTATTTCAGATATGTCAGATTTTTCAGTGCATGTCAGTGCATGTCAGTGCATGACATATCCTTACCTCATCTCCAACAAGGCCACTGCCTTTTAGTGTGATTGAGAGACATTGAGAGACGTCGTTCAGACTAATTCTATATAATTCTCAACCTAGTGTGATTGGCCAGGGTTGTAAGGGGTCTAGCAGAATCTAGCACTAGTTACTTAGTTTGCTACATCTTACGTATTGAGGTGTGCAGGCTGTACAGGCTGTACAGGCTGTACAGGCTGTACAGGCATGTTGCCGTGTGGGTTCATATCTCCTGGACTGGATCTTGCATGACGATAAGAGTGGAAGCAGAGAAAGTTGTGATGGCATGTAGGTACTTATTCCCATTCGCAAAAAGGTGCTGGCAGGTTCATGTGTACATGCAACATACAGGCACCAAACATGGCACTTTGCAAGAAATTGTTCTGTGGAAATTGGTGGCGAGCTTGTGCCCAACATGTTCATAGATCTTCGCCGTCCAGTCTGGGTCTTGAGACTTTATGAAGGGTGTCGCGTCATGTCGCGTCTCCTTGTGTTGTCCTCCAAGGCTGCTTCTAATTTCGCCAAACATGTTGGCCACACTCGGACCATGCCCTGAATACCAATCACCATTCACCGACAGCGCAAAATGACCCCAAACTCCAATCTCCAGACTCAGAACTTCGCATCCGAAACCCCAGAACCCAACTTGCAACCGCTAAAGTCTGCTAGAGCGTGCTAGAGCCCAAGGATGTATAGCATCGTCGATAGTATCACTCTTTGAGGATGGGGATGACTTGAACAAATCTCGAACTTATCTCGAACTACCTGTACTGTATGGATTTTTTTTTGAACCATACTGTGAATGTAAACGTTTTGGTCAGTATTGTGAGTCTCGAGGCCCTGTCAAGGCATGCTCCGGGAGGCACAAGCTTGGCTCTTAGCTGTCAAGTGCACCCTTTTGAAACTACAAACCATGGAAAAAATCATGACTGAGTATAAAACTATATAAAACTGACATGCTTGTCATATCGTGTCATGTCAACTTGCAGACTTGAGCGCGTTGAGTGAGGCCTGCAATGAGCAAGTTTGTCCTGGCAATGTGTGGTGGCACAGCTCTCCTTCAGCCGCTTCCTTCATCACCAGTTTTTGTGATTGACTTAATCAAACGGATACGATTCTGTACATTTACTAGTTTTTTTTAATTAGTTTTTGGTTTCTTTTCTACCTTCTCACAGTGCACTGGACTTGAGGTTGCCTGTGAAGTGAGCGAATGGTCTTCATGGCATGGCTGTACAGAGGCGCAGTGTGTACTTGCAGGGTGAGACAACTATGTTGTAATTCCACGTAATTCCATGTTTTTCGAAGGATTAGGATGGATTTGGATTGGAAGCATTAAGACATGTTGAAACAGCTGGCACCCAAGGCGTAGAGGAGGGTTTGGGAAAGGAAAGTACCGGTTGGAAGCTACTACAGCAAGCCATTTGTTTAGGGTATATATGCACCAGGCCCTGCCACCCCCCCCCCCCCCCCCCCATATGGGATGGGTCCCATATACTGGTCCCATATGAGATCTTCCCCCTCCCCCCCCTGTGGTGTGGTGGGGGTGTGGCACTGTCCCCCTCCCCCCCCTGTGGTGTGGTGGATGGGTCCCATATACTGGTCCCATATGAGATCTTCCCCCTCCCCCCCTGTGGTGTGGTGGGGGTGTGGCACTGTCCCCCTCCCCCCCCTGTGGTGTGGTGGATGGGTCCCATATACTGGTCCCATATGAGATCTTCCCCCTCCCCCCCCTGTGGTGTGGTGGGGGTGTGGCACTGTCCCCCTCCCCCCCCTGTGGTGTGGTGGGGGTGTGGTATGGTATGGTGGGTATGTATGGTGTGTATGGTCGGTCTGGTATGGCATGTTTGGAAAGTATGGTATGTTTGGTATGTATGGTAGGTATGGTATGTATGGCATGAGTGGTTGGTATTGTATGGATGGTAGGTATGGTATGTAAGTCTGTTGGATATGGTATGTTTGATATGACAGTATGTATGGTCTGTATGGTATGTATGGTTACTATGATGGGTATGGAATATGTCCTATCTAAGGTAGGTATGGTATGTATGGCATGTATGCTTGCTATTGTATGTATGCTATTGTATGTATGGTAGGTGTGGTAATTACATTTCATATGTATGGTATGTATGGTATGTATGATAGATATGATAGGTATGGTATGCATGGCATCATTGACATGTATGGTAGGTACGGTATATGTTCAACAGAGGTAGTGTTGTCAGAGTACACAGGTAGTAAACAGGAAGTAGATACAGTAGATACATAGCACATGTATGTATGACTATAGGTAGCACGTAGGTACTTTGAAGGAGTATGTGTGCTACGTAGGTCGCCTAAAAGGTAGCATGTACCTAGTAAATGCGAGGCTGGTAGTCAGAAATGCTGCAAAGACCTAGCAAATACGAAGCTGGACCTCAGAAATGCTGCCAATAGCTTGCAAATAGAAGGGAATTGGGGCTACTACCTGGGGACCCAACCCATGGGGGGGGGTGGAGAGACGGAGGACGGGACCATATATGTGTTTGAAAGGACATGAAAGGACCTTGCGTGTATCAGAAATGCTGTACATTGTTTGACAGATTGCTACCAAATTTGATTCGTCATGGGCTTGGGGTCCTTCAAGGATTTTCTTTCCAAGAACGGTTGAACGTATTGTTTTGATGTTCTTTTCCTAAAAACGATTTTGTTGGTTGGACTGTTGCTTGAATGCACTGGCCTGGCAAGGAAGATAGACACAACAAAACAATCCAGGCATATCACTCGCATTCTGCTTCTACGTTGGAAGCTTGCTTCAAAGCGGACTGAAATTAGTACCAGAAGGTGTCCACAAGAATCCCATTCACGGCATTGACATTTGTCGCATTATATAAGCGCCCTTTTAGTCACGGCAACTTGTCTTCGACTTGTGCTGGCAATGCGGCAATGCGCCTTGAGACAGGCCATGTTCCAAAAGTTTCGCTCTCGTTCCTTGGTAAATGCGCATGGCTCAGTGGAAAGTCTACATATACATTATATACAGTAGTCTACAGATTCAAATGCAACGCCAGCTCGCAGTAGGATTAAACATTTGCATGTGGAATAGAGATGCTTGAAACAGAAGCATTGGCATGATGGTTCGGTTTTCCCTATTTGACTGCAACCACTGCAAGTTCAGTCTTGTGTAGGCAGTAGCCAATCAATGCACACCGCTGACCACTTGTTCACTTCAAGAATCTGACTTTTCTTTTGCATTTGTTTGCATACTTCTGATTAATTATATATAAGCGGGTTCTGGAATGAAGTGGCAGTACTGGTTGCCTAGAGGACAGCATCTGAAGCAGCTCTTGATTCTTGATTTTCATTGAACAAGCCACACACTCCACGAACTTTGTTGAAGACAAACTCAGGGATGGTTTTGGCTTATGTTGCTATGCTTTGTATACATGCTTCAAAGTTGTAGTTCTCCAACAATTGCAGAGGCATTGACTGACTTTGCTCAATCTGACTGCAATCTTTACCAGGAAATTATGATCATGCACCAGGTATGCAAAGTAGATTTGCTGAGCCTTCTGAAAAGTTCGGCAATGGACTCGACTTCGGCTAAATAATATTCATAATTTATATAATTTGCAGGTGTTGTCTACTATGCAATTGAAAATGTGAACGGTCTCGTAAGGATGTTGATTTTGGATTCCAATTTTGGTTTTGCACAGTACCAGTTTGACCTCTGCTGTTCAGACTTTTGGTGGGTCCCAAGCCCCCACTTCACCGGTTACGTTCGAGGTGCCACCAGTGACAGGAGATCAAGCAGCTTGCACAGCATTCAGAAGGGGTGGACAGTCTCTTGGAAATCGGAATCTGAATAGCGCAGATTCAGAAGTCCCAATTCATGTATGCAATAAGCACGAAACCAGTTCTGTTCCAGGGGGAGGGGTCTACCTGCACTTTTTCTCGTTTGTTGTTTTCGAATGTATTCTGTATTGTATTATATTATCTAATATTATCTAATATTATCTAATGTTATCTAATATTATCTAATATTATCTAATATTATCTAATATTATCTAATATTATCTAATGTTATCTAATATTATCTAATATTATCTAATATTATCTAATATTATCTAATATTATCGAATATTATCTAATATTATCGAATATGATCTAATATTGTCTAATATTATCGAATATGATCTAATATTGTCTAATATTATCTAATATTATCTAATATTACTAAATTACCCCCTGGTAAATTAACATAGACCCTGAAAATCACACATTTTTAATGGAAACTAGTCTTCCAACCCCGATCTGCCAGGGTCTATGTTAATATACCAGAGGGTATATTATATTATATTATAGTGTATATATATTTTTTTTTAATATTTAAATGAGATTACATGTTATATTATATTGTATTGTATGATATGTTGATAATATTTTATATTATCTTACATTTTCATGATTTTATATAATACAATAAATTATATTATATTATATTCATATAACATAATATAATATAATATAATATATTATATTATATTATATTCATATCATACAATGTAATATCATAATATTTTATATTGTATTATATTATATTCATATCATACAATGTAATATCATAATATTTTATATTGTATTATATTATATCATTAATAGTTATATAATATTTTATATTTTTAGTATATTTATATTATATGTGTGTTATATGTATATCTATGTTATTTTACTGTAATATTTTTACTATATATATATTATTATTACATTATATTATAGTGTAATATTTTTGATATTAATTGCTATATTTTATTGCATTTTATTATATGTTATATTATATTGTATTATATGTTCATATATTATGTTTTATTATATTATATTATATTGTCTTATATTGCAAATTTATAATATTTCTTTTTATATCATTTATATCATAATAATATATCATATTATATCATATTATGTCATATCATATCATATCATGTGATACCATTATAATATGATAATATCGGATTTATATGTATATCTATTTTTCCCCAACAGCGTAAGCTAATGGGGTCTTCAGCCCAGAGATGCTCCGGTGTGTGCTGGTGCAGGCGTCGGGTCAGGTTCAACGAGGTTCCGGAAGGTTCCGGAAGGTTCCGGAAGGTCCCGGAAAAGGTTCCGGAACGCTTTGGTGGAGAGCCGGGCCAGGTTCAACGAGTCTTCAAGTAGGTTCCGGTGCGATTCCGTGAGTTTGTCGGCGCAGCTTTTAGGTCAAGTTCCAGTTCGGACGACAAAATCTGTGAAAATAAATTACTGCTGCTGTTGGGGATACTACCGAAGCTTATTATATTTTTGTTTATGTTACATTATATCATACTAAAATATATGTTATTGTATTACATTCTTATATACGTAATTAATGTCAGTGATAATATCTTATTACGATGTATACCCAGGTGTAGGCTTCTGGCTATCGCCTGGTAGCTTTCCTTATCAGCATTTGCCAAGGAACTCTTTTGTGAGTACAGTTTGATGGAAGCTAAAGGCCTGACCACCGGGGTCTTTGATGACCAACAAAATGCCAGATGTCAAAGTCTTGATTAACTGTAAGAAAATCACGACTAGCTTCAATCGGTGATGTTTGCTGATCGGCTACCCATGTGAGTAGAGTTTGTATTCGTCCGCATGGAAGAGCCGTATATATGACACCAACAGTTTTTTTCAGCTGAGTTTGGAAACCGCAACAGAATCTCAAAGCAAATGCAGCATAGAATCCTGCTGAGTGATTGAGGGCATGATCGCTATTGATCAAGCATCATTAGCAGTTGTCAGCCGTCGGCTGTTTGGTCGAACCGCCATGATGATTTGGAAGTGGGGACATCGTTTTGGGGGATTACATGGGTTTCCTTCAAAGACAGTTGGACAAGTCCTTCAAATGTAAAGGTGAAGCCTTCTGAAAGTGTAGGAATTTGGGGAATCTGAACGTGCCATCTTACCCCTATTGCGCGTTCAGGTTCTGTTTTCTCTCAGGTTCTCCGCCATGAAGCCATGTCATATTTCACTGCAGAACATGAGGCCAAATCATTTATTTCTTATGTTTCTTATGTTTCTTATGTTTCTTAGGACTCTCCCAAAAGGGTCCAAAGTGGGTTGCTGCCCAGCATCTTCAGCCGTTTTTTTTGTGATGTGCAGGCTGTCCTAGAGGCAGTGACGAGCAACTAGGTCGCAGAAATCCGACAGACAAGGTCTCTTACATACAAAGGTTTGGACATGTTCTGCATGTATCACGAATTGTCTCGCCTTGCAAGAATATATAATATAAATGTGTGTATTTGACAGTGTCCATGCTACAGTTGGATCAGCCTCCATCATGGTGCACACATAGAGCCATTTGCACCGTGCGCAGCCAGGGTGATCCGGATCGCACATACAATTGACAAATAGATACGAGAGATGTAGATAGTTATGGGTACATGTAGTGATAATATGTGATAATTGTAGGTACATGTTTCCCCCTTGCTTAGGCTTTCGAGTTTGACCCTGCCAAGAACCATCAAGAACCATTTGAGGCCCGGCCTTTGCAAGCTGACCACATGGAGTGAATGGGGCGCTTGCCGGGATCTCATTCATTTACACTCCGAAGCAATTTTTATTTCGTAGATTCCGCACATGAAATACATGGACACAATCTGAGATACCATAGCTCAACATACATGCCATGTCATGAAACGTAATCAGTATGTTGCCGGTTTTATGCAGTAATATTCCTGGACACACATGGTGATGGTGACAGGTTCCATCGGGAAACCATATCAGTCAGGAAGGAATTGAATCGTGAGTTTGCGTAGTGACGGTCGGACTATGTGGTATGCTATCTGTCCAGAATTGGTCGAAGACGAAAGAGCGAGCACTTGAACTTAGGCTCGAGTGAGTGCGATGGTAGCAAAGTTCGCAACAGATCCATCGTCGAGTACATGAAGAAAACGTGTCATGTGCGGATCCCGCAGATTGTGGGTGACATGACACACGAAGATTGCAGGAATGGACGACTCAGCTTGTACTATGAGAATCTATGAGAATACATAAGAAATATATTCATTCTACTCATATTCTTGTTACATCGTGAAGCCCGCTTTTGTACAGTGTGTGGAGTCTGATCTTAAAGGATAAGAGATTCTAAGATGATTCTAAGAGACACAGGGCATTTCAGGGTTCTTCCATCGGAAGGAAACGGCATTACAATGCGTTACAATGCGTTACATTATTTTGAGACTCATCTCCAACACACCCGGACACACCCGATACACCCTTTCAGCCTCTTTTCAGCCTGAGAGGCTTCGATTTGTTTTGGTGACAGGATCTTTTGGATTGATATGGTCCATAAATGTCCATAATATGGTCTAGAGTGCTGATGAGTGCTGCAAAAGTTCTGAGTCGTAGAGCCTGAAGTGCCTTGCAATCCTACTGGAGACGTTGCGGAATTCGTCAATCAACTCTCACTAAGAGGACTCACCAGGGAGAATTCTGTGCTTTCAGGCTTGGTTGAACGCGGTTGAACGGATACTGTATGGTAGAAAGATGTAGAAAGCAATAGAAAGCATCTGAAGAACTCACCGTGTGCTAGGCTGTTTGAACCTAGCATCTACTGAGAATCTACTGTCTTTGCTAGGTTGTTTTCCATCCCTTTCCTTTTTGCATGCAGTCCCAAAGAGCTACGGCAAGAGCTGCTGCCACTTTCCAATTTGTCCAGCCTCCATCCTTTGGAGGTTACTGATGTTGAGACAATGATGGAGGTGACCTATTGCGGAAGTCGCAACTGTCACAACAGGTGCGCTTGGAAAGCCACTCCCGCAAGATGAAGCCTGCAAATCTGGAACAAAATCCGCAGTCTCCATGATCAGAATCATAACCATGCTATGATTTACTCTCGGTGATAAGCAATTTGATTCTCTTTTTGTGGTATAGGATTTAGTTGCCCGAGTCTGGCAACTTGAGATGGGTACGAGGCATGCCATGACATTTTGGCTTTTCATGATTTTCTAGGTTTCCTTATGAGACAGAAACAGGGCTTCTTGATTTGATACAGCTAGGAGACATGTAATTTGAAATGATTGGTGTCACGCAGGAAATGTGAAATGACTGATTGGACCGAATGGAGCGAATGCTCACATCGCTGTGGGCAGAGAGCCAAGTTGTGTGCTACTTGTGGGCCATATTGATGTTTGGATTTAGGACATTTTTTTCCGACTCTTTCACGAAGGCTGAAGCAAACATGCGAACCATGTCTAGGGAAAGCTTGAAGGCCTCCAAACGCATACTGCACATTGCTGCACATTGCTGCACCACGTGTAACGCAAAAACAGTGTCAGTATGTGAAAGAGATTGAAAGAGGCTGCTGGATGCCACTGGATGCCCCTGGATTCTGCTGGATGCTACTGGGAATGTATTGGGAATGCACTGGGAATGTACTGGGAATGTATTGATGTCATTTAACGATTTTAACGTCATTTATGGAGAAACGATAAAGCTTCTTGATTTATCCTCCACTGAGGCCTGGGGTGATGGATCGAACAAGAGAAGTTACGCAGGGTGGAAATTGCTCGACTCTCAGAGAGTATTGTAAGATTGATGCTATCAGAATCTATCAGATCTGTAAGACTTACTTTGACTCTTTGACTTGTGCGAATGCAAAGCAGGATGTCGTTGGGACACTGGAGGAGCAAATCAAGAAGTCTCAGAGTCGTTTGACACCCGCAGAATCCAGCGGGCATAAAATGAAAAGTGTCCGTGAGAAGACAGGCTAGTTGGTATTTAGCGTGGCAACCGCATGATTCAAGTGGCCAGGCGAAGCACCATTAAAAGAGCTTCGAGACTGCCAAGTCGCTGTTTGTCAGCCTGAAGATTGCACATGGGTGCGCCATGGCCGTGTTATGGCTCATGCATCTCATGTGTCACTCCTAGTCAGTCATGTCAGAGATGTTGATATGAATTGCCGGGTATGGTATCTTGTGATGATTTTAAAACCCTGATTGTCACTTTGACTTTGCCCATGGAAGTCCTGACACGCGCAGTGGACAATACACAGCCTGCGAGGGCGATTGGACTTTCTGGAGCAGTTGCACAAAAAGCTGCGGCTCTGGGGTTCATCGACGCCATCGCGAAGTGAAGACTGCAGCTTGATCCAACGCTTCATCTAAAAACGTCGACATTCATCCACATACAGAATATATTGTTGAAATTCTCCATTAACTAGGCTGCCAGCATGATTGATGATCTGAAACTTATAGCACAGACATCCTTTTTGTAAGACCTTTTTGTGAGTTAGTGCCTAGAATGCTGTCAATTTTAGGATGTTTCCGGATGGAGCTAGTTGTTTTCTATACACTATACAATTGATGTCGTGTGCGCGAGAACAAACATCGAGATGTTTCGGGTCTGGTTGGGTTGGAAGTGGTGTGTTCTGCTCGATTCTCTTTGAGCAGCATATCCAATGAGCGGTCTTTGGGTTCTTGTTGTGCATGATGAATGATGAACCATGATGAATCCTGAATGTTTGGATGTCTTTGGGTTTCTAATTCAATGTTTGCATGCTGCCACCGAGGCTCCACGCCATGGGGGCAAAGCTTGTGATCCAAAAGCTAGGGAAGAGGCGGGTTGGGCCTGTTGGACGTTCATTCAGTTCCCGACATTCGTTGGATGCAGATTGAACGCACAATGTTCCGAGCTTGCTTTGCATTTTGACGAGATTTTCTGTTAACGACACACATGCCCGGAAACAAGTTCATTCACCCACGGGCGTTTCGGCGCTTTGAATAAACACCTTGGTTTTGATCACTGAGATTCGTAAGCCTTCGATACACATAAGGCACAGCTTTGATAGGTTCCTTCCATGGTTCGTGCAACAGCGGTTCCACCAGTTTCTTCATGCCATACCGTAGTTCTTTTCCTTTTCAAAGATAAACCACATTAAACCACTGTCAGTGGACTGCTCCAATGATTCTTTGCAAATCTTAGCAGGGTCTAGTAGGCAGTTAGATGACAGTTTATATTGGATTCTGAGAATAGAATATCTGCGATTCGGGGACAACCGCCGCACTTTGGCCCTGAGAGAAGTTTTGTGCATCCTGGTTGCATTCTTCAATCAAATTTCATGGCGGAATCGATGCACATACCCCGTGCCAAACAGGTTGGATTTTGCAACAATCAAACCTGTGACACGTGTTGCCGGCCAGTGTTCAAGGCTTTGGCTTTGAAGAAGAATCAGCTTACGAGAAAAGGGCTTGTACAGACACGGGCGTTAAAGCATCTGATTGTTTGACCCACCGCATCAGATGTTTTTGTGCAACCATGTGCTTGGAAAATCTTGAACTGATGCTCCAATCCCCACTCAATATGCAACAAGTCGCATTGCCTTCATTGCTTTCTTTGTCAAGTCAAGGCTTGATAAGGCTTGCATTTCTAATCATTTCTACATGTTTTTCACGAGAGATGCACGGGATAGGATAAGTTGAAGTTGAACCACTTGACAGCGGAACCCCTCCTCTGCGCCAGGTGCATTGACGGGCAGTGACTGCCTCAGTAACCTCATGTCAGTCACTCCTGGCTCCGCAAAAATACTGAAACAGACGGACAGAAGTGAGTGACACACTTCTATGGAGTCAGAGTGAACTTGTCATATTATTGCATCTCCATTTGGCCAGACATTTTCCTGTTTCGTCCGCAAATTGTCGAAATCTCATCACAACTCATCACAACTCATCACAACTCATCACAACTCATCACAACTCATCACAACTCATCACAACTTATCACATACCAACTCATCACAGCTCCACTTCTCACACCTCACTCATCACAGCTCCACTGCTCATCACAACTCATCACAGCTCCACTTCTGACAGGTCCACTTCTCATCACTTCTCACAGGTCCACTTTTCATCACAACTCATCACAACTTATCACATCCCAACTCATCACAGTTCCACTTCTCACACCTCACTTCTCACACCTCACTTATCACATCACAACTTCTCATCACAACTCATCACATCTTATCACATCCCAACTCATCACAGCTCCACTTCTCACACCACTTCTCACACCTCACTTATCACATCAGAACTCATCACAGCTCCACTTCTCACACCTGACATCACAAGTCCACTTCTCACACCTCACTTCTCACACCTCCCCGAAGTTCATATTAAGCTTAGATACATAAAGGCTTGACATGTGGGGTTATCCGGTCCTTTTATTTTGGTTTACACATGTGTAAGTGAATATTCACCCCGCTTTGCGTGGGGTGGCCGCCCACACCGCAGGTTTATTTCGGTCCGTGAGAGGGGCTAAGGGTGGTTTTCCCCCGTGGGGGCTCCCCAAGCTAAGAATTTTAACTTTCCCCCCCGTGGGGGCTCCCCAAGCTAGGGAATTTTCACTTTTCCCCCCCGTGGGGGCTCCCCAAGCTAGGGAATTTTCACTTTTCCCCCCCGTGGGGGCTCCCCAAGCTAGGGAATTTTCACTTTTCCCCCCCGTGGGGGCTCCCCAAGCTAGGGAATTTTCACTTTTCCCTCCCTTGGAGGCTCTCCAAGCTGCGGAATTTCAAATAGCTAGACAACGACGCCTAGATAGTCCCCCAAATCCCGTGTTCTTTGAATGTGTTTCCATGTTTTTGCAATGGTTTCCTTCAAAGCACGGTACTTTACACTCTTGTCGCCATAAAACCGGTCGAAAACATCATGTTCGACAATGCTTCCAATTCCCTTATCTCCCCAACCGTTGAAAATACCGCTATTTACAGTGTTTTCTTCAATTTTTCCATGTTCCAATGCCGGTAGCCAACTCCAACATATATATAAGAAATCCTTCCAAAACATTGTTTTTGACAGTGTTTTTCTAATGTTTCCAGTCAAACAGACGGTAATTTACACGTTTTTTGCCATAAAGGCAGTAAATCCTTCCAAAACATTGCTTTTGACAGTGTTTTTGTAATGTTTCCAGTCAAGCATACGGGAATTTACACGTTTTTTGCTATAACGTCAGTCCAAAACACTTGTTTTTGCAGTGTTTTCAATGCTCTGGCATCCAAAAACCCTGCAAAATCTTGCTATGTACAATGTTTTTTTTCATTTTTGGCCGTTTTTCCATTGCCGGAAAGCTACCAAAATGACCCAAAATTCCATTTCAATACCCTCTTGCGCTCAGACACCCAAAAATCCTCGAAAAATGTCGAAAACACCACCGTATTCTGGTCTCGGTGCGAAACCGTTTTTGGCCCCCCCCCCCAGCTAAAGCTGATATAGCGACTGCTATATTAACAAATGTCATTGAGCATTTAGTGTTGCTGTTTTGCCCCCCAATAAGCACGCCTTCACCGCCAAAGCGGTGTGGGCGGATTTTTTTGTTTACACATTCTTACACATCCTTACACATCCTTACACATCCATTCTTACACAGGCATGAAACCAAACCGAATTAGAATGCCACGTCGCACGCCTCTGGTCATCCGTGGATGTTCTATCCTGCGGCCCTTTGGGCAGCAACTCTCTCATTTTATATTTTTTCCAAATTAAGATTGTCCAACCCAAAGCACAAAAACATCATCAAATGTTCAAGTGCAGCAAAGAAATTCGAAGAAAACTTACGAAACAAAGGTTTCTTTAACACAAAAAATAAAAATGCAAAACGCAATGATGAAGAAAAAACTGCAAAAATACATTTCTTTTCATGTTCAAAATAACTTAAAATAACTTAAAAAGCTTGCAAGTTACTTATATTTAACTTATGCTACTTAGAGCTACAATTAAAAGTTCTTAAACAGTTAAGTTTCCTAAGTTAACTTGTAAGTTGTGTAAGTAGGTCAAGTGCCATAAGTAATTTACATGTATTCTATCCCCAAACCATCCACCAAGTAGGGAGTAGGTAGTGGGGAGTAGGGAGTAGCTAGTGGCTAGTAGCTAGTAGCTAGTGGCTTGTGGCTAGTAGGTAGTAGATAGTAGCTGGTAGGTAGTAGCGGTAGTAGCGGTAGTAGCGGTAGTAGCGGTAGTAGCGGTAGTAGCGGTAGTAGCGGTAGTATCGGTAGTAGCAGCGGTAGTAGCGGTAGTAGCGGTAGTAGGGGTAGTAGTAGCGGTAGTAGCATCGGTAGTAGTAGCGGTAGTAGCAGTAGTAGCAGTAGTAGCAGTCGTAGCAGTCGTAGCAGTAGTAGCAGTCGTAGCAAGAGTAGCAGTCGTAGCAGTCGTAGCAGTCGTAGCAGTCGTAGCAGTAGTAGCAGTAGTAGCAGTAGTAGTTGCAGTAGTAGTAGCAGTAGTAGTAGCAGTAGTAGCTAGCAGTAGTAGTAGTAGTAGTAGTAGTAGTAGGAGGAGGAGTAGTAGTAGTAGTGGTAGTAGTGGTAGTAGTGGTAGTAGTAGCAGTAGTAGCAGTAGTAGCAGTAGTAGCAGTAGTAGCAGTAGTAGCAGTAGTAGCAGTAGTAGCAGTAGTAGCAGTAGTAGCAGTAGTAGCAGTAGTAGCAGTAGTAGTAGTAGTAGTAGTCGGAGTAGTAATAGTAATAATGATAGTAACGGTAAAAATAGCAGTAATTGTAAGAATAGTAGTAATAGTAATAATATGTAATAATAGACTTAGAATTATATTACATAACAGATATTAATACCAGTAGTACCGCACAAGGCGGTGCCGGAAGTTTCAAGGATAGGCACTATAGGAGAGGTGAGTTGTTGTGATGCATGGATGGCAGAGCGAATACACTGATGGACCGAAAGGTGGTTGGAGTTGTGCTTTTTCAGTGGTTGCCATGGTTGCAGTGGTCACC